AACTTTGCGCGAAAGTCAAGTTTCATAAACCTATCTCTAATGGACAAGGCCTTCCATTCATAAGAAATGAACGAAAAAATTATGAAAGAACATGACAAAATTTGGTTTAATGATTTTAACGTGCGCCGACCGCACCGTGTTTGGCGCAATGCGTGAAGTATTCATGCATTCTTGTAGGCGCTAGCCGTGTCACGCGGACCACAATAACCGCACTGTGTTTGATGCAATGCGTGAAGTATTCGTGCAGTCTTGTAGGCGCTAATATGTGTTACATGCCGATTGCCGCGCCGAGGGCTTCTCCTTTTCACCTCAAAGTCCTCGTCATCATTTCTCCCTAAGTCGCGCCGTTCCAGGCCAAATTGTGTGTTTGGTTTCTCTCTTAACTCGACGAATTAAAGGTGCTGCCTCTTGTATCACTGAGAGACGACAAAATTAGAAATTACTATACTCTCAGGAAATGAGAGATTTTGTAGCCTTTTCTCGTTTGTAATTTTTTTCTTCTAAATCCGATTGTTTTTCATACCTACACTGAAAAAAACACATTGAATCTGGAGTCCAGACTCTTAAAAACGTCGACAAGAAAAAATACCCTTGATTCAATCAGATTTAAGTTTAATAAATCAAGAGCCAAGCCTCTTAATTTGAGCGGATTTCCTTTTGATATAAGCTTAAATCCGATTGAATCAAGAGTCCTTTTTCTTGTCAATGTTTTCAACAGTCTGGACTCTAGATCCAATGTGTTTTTTTCCAGTGTACATTTAAAAAAATTGCAAAATTTGCCGACCCCTAGATTTGCCGCCATGGGCCGCGGCCCATGTGGCCACCCCCTTAATCCGGCCCTGAGCGGGCACTCAATTTTAGTCTTTTTTCCTCCCACCATTTTCAAATGGACTGCGTTAAGCCGAAAGGAAGCAAGCCACATCAGCTATTGCCAGAAATCGAAGAATTTAATTCTTTATATGAAAACTGTTGTGCGGATTTTCATGCAAATTTCCGTAAATTTACTACATAGTGCAAAGCAAATTCCACAAAATTTTCAGAGGAATCCGCACAAACATTCCCTCGTAAAAAATTAAATTGCCCAGGGAAATTTGACAATAGCTGATGTGGCTTGGTTCCTTTCTTTTAAACGCGGTTCAAATAGCCTTTAGGAACTAATCTCGAGTTTTCTCCTTACCCGTACCCAATCTCGAGTGACCCTTGCTTCTCAAACTCAGGCCGCTTTACTGGAAATCGAACTGGGAACCCTCCGATTATGGATCAGCGGTACAACCACTACTTTACAGGTCGCCTTGATGTCTTTCCTTTTACCTTGATTTTTCGCAGATACAATTTTTCGGTCATCGAGAAGCAAATTCGCTCTGTGATGAGTAAAGTGACCATCGTGACGTTTGAGTCATAGTATTTGTCATGCCATGATTCCTCCGAAATGAGAGTGGTAGCTACGCAATTAAAGCGCGCAAGTGTTGATAATGCCAATTTGTGGTTTGGATAAATTCTGATGAAATCTTACGCAGTAACGACGCTTTAATAACATGGCTGACCATGGCTATTGACCATGCGCCCTGAGACTCTTAGTTTTCAGAAGGCCGAAATCCGAGGATGCTCATGCTCAGAACTTAGAACAAGCTCGCGCTCCCCAAGTAGCATTTTTCAACGGAAAAATCGCGATTTGTTGCAATTTTGTCGGCGATAAAATCGCTGAGATCATCAACATCTGAGCGATTATCCTCGATTTTGTTGCAATAAAATCACGATTTTATAGCCCGACTATTTATCGCGATATTATCGCGACAAAAATCGCGATAGATGGCGATTTGATCTCGATTTTATCGACGAAAATTGATCGCGCTTTTATTAAACAAAAGATTGCGATGCATAGTGATTCAATCGCCATAAATCGCAATTTTTTAGTCGATAATATTGCGATAAATTGCCACCTATATAATCGCGATAATCAACCGATACAATCGCTGTTTATCGCGATCACTGCTACTTGGGTCTCTGACCTCTCGTCTGTCTACAGATATGCCGATTTGTATTATTTTTCAACTATTCCCTAGTTACAACGATGACAAGCCGCATTGTTCAAAACCCCTAACAAACGGGTAAAACACAAGGAGAGAGGAATCCCTTTTGGGTATATTGTAAAGCACTCGTACGATTAGGAGAATTCAACCAGAGTCAACCTACCTACATCTAACGTTGAGTAAATTTTCTTTTATGTGTTATCCTTTTTAACAGAATAATCGAGAATCATCCTGACATAAAATTGTGTGAGTGCCTACCTATATTCTTTACAGCCTATCAATGTGACGAGTCGCGTCAAATTTACCCAAATAGTCTGAAACGAACTACTAGGTACCTTCTTTTCAAAAATTTTGAAAGGTCGTAACTGTTTTACTAAAAATTTACCTCTCGAAAATTGTGTTAAAGAAAATATCCATCAAGGCGGGCCTTTTTTGTAAATTCTCATAGTTTTTTGTGAGGAAAATTTACAGGTTTTTTTTTCTTTAAAATAAATTTTGTATTTATCTCTTTCTCCAAGGTTGGGAATTAATGAGGAGCTGTTGATGAGCCTGCTGTCTTCAAAAAGGGTAGCAGGTAGTGGCGCGCGAAGAAGTGGCTTCACGTTAGCAAAGAGGACAACATATCTGTCAAATATTTAGTATTACTTGAAAGGTCTCTACAGGATTTTACAGACAATTTTCCCTTCGGCCACGCAATTTCCAATTTTTTTACGTAACAAAAATCACTCCGCTGAAAAAAGTTAAAAACTATAGAATACCAAGTATTCTATACCATTCCATCTGTACCTGCAGACTTATTACCAAATTTAGTAACTACAGTGAGGCAGTGGTGCTGGCATTCGCAGCTTTGAGGTCATGAGTCGCGCCGCGCTACACACTGTGGAGGCAAAGAAATGACGCGTGCGCATAATTTGCATACATCCGTTATTGAAGGCGTTTCTAACGCTCTCGCGGAGCGTGGCCCGCGCACAGCTGATGTTACATAACCAGTTTCTAGGGCAAAAAATCATTTGTACATGAACCATCCAATCTGAATCAACTTTGGATTGTCCTAGCATACGTCACTAATAAAGCAGAAACTTCCTACGTCATGCGACGGACCTATTTATTTACCTGTGTTGCTTTTCAACACCGCAGTGGGGCACTGAAGTCCCATTTTTCCAATGCAGGCTTTCGGTAGGGTCACACGATCAAACCGTTCTATCAATTTATCAAGGTCAAGTGCTGCGATTGGTCCAAGTCATCAAATAAACCAATCACTACACCTGGCCTTGATCTATTGATAGCACGGTTTGATCGTGTGCACTAGCCTTTAACAGCAGCCGCGTAACCTTGTACTTGAAGCGTTCATATATATGCACGCGCAGTCAAGCGTGTACGCATAGGCGTGCAGCTGATCGTACCTGCCAATTTGAACGAAAAAAATGATTTTACGGAAGAATATCCAATGTACATTACTCCGCAAGAATTAGCGTTCGCGGAGATAAAGCAACGGAGGTTATGTTCCACCCATAAACAGGGAGGCAGGGAGGGCTCAAAAACTTCGGTCCGTTCAGACAGGAGTCCTGAGGCCCATAAAAATATATGTGTGACTGTGACAGGGCTCATGTTACAATGGAAATACTTCCGTTTCATTTCAATGCGTCTAATTCGTCGTTGCTCAGAGGGAAGAAAGTGACTGAATTCCAAAGTAAAAAATTTTCCGCTCCCAAAATATTTGTATATTTTTTCTAGAAAACTGTTGGACGTCTCTCCCTAAAAATGGCACCGATTTTCTTCTGATTGCCCACAATACCTACTCAGCAAAGCTTAGGACAGAGATATCAGGCATATTCTTGTAAAAAATGAATTTTGGTCAATTTTTGCACTTTATGAGTTGAGTATCGTTCCTTCGTCGAGAAATGACGATTTGATCACCCCAACTTTATTGAGAGGACCGCTGGAAACGGGGACACGGTTACAAATTACGCACTGAGAACATGTTTTCTATTCGAAAGTCTACGCAGAACACGGTGGAAAAGCTGGAAATGACAAAATTATACCAAATAGTGAAATATTCCCAGTTTCCACGTTTGTGAATTAGAACAACTCTCCGCTCGTCCAAAAATCCGAAATCTACGCGAGTCACTCTGACACTACATTTAGGATTGCAGTGTAGTTAGAGGTGAAATAATTTTTCGGTGTGCTGGTTTTTTCTCGACACGTTTGCGGTTGTATGTTCACAGAGTTTCGGAAGAGAATCAGTGTAAAAGTATTAATGTATCGATTTCTTTGTGAAACCAAAATCAAATACTTTACCAAACATATCGACAGTGTGAGTCGGCAATCACATGACTCGGTTTGCGACGTCGCAAGATTCTTACTGTCATATTTTTATTTTTCAAACGGAAAACTACTTAACTGCAGTTCTTTAAAATTGCGGTGATTTTTCTTCTCTGTGTAAAGAAAATTCTGCAAAAACTTCAAGGAATGATGCCAATTTGATCTCCTTTAAAAAATAACATGGAGGCCGAAATTTTCAGACACCGCAAACGAAATAGGTATGTGATTGCGGACTTACGCCGTCAATATGAATTCGTTTTAAGAAAAAATTGAACAAATTCTAGAAGCTTACTTCTCTTCGCATTTTCAAAAAATGAATTTGAGAAAAATGCGGGTGCCACTTGCCCATTCCTTACATCTTATCCTCGTGAAATTCTGTACAGTAATGCAAGATACCTATCATTTCTCGTAGTTGTCGCGTTGTTGTATGACCTACCAAAGCGTTGCAACTATGGAATCACGGCTGCTTCTCTACCGAGATCAGAAAAAGACGCAACCTCATTGAAACTTCAATACAAATCCGCGATTTTTGCTTTAAACGGATAACTCCCTCCAATCTACTGAGCCTATCCATTAAATTACTACCTCCACTTACAAGGATCAAGATGATTGATACCTACGTTGAGTGTTGAGCTAACTTACAACAACAAAACACTGATTCATGTCCATCTTGAAGTCTCGTCCGTTCGGCTTATCGGCAGTTTGATAAGTTTCAGTTGTGTAACCGGTAAAATGTTTACTTACTCCAATTCTATCCAGTTGTTTTTCCGATAAGTCAGAGGATACGCGTGTTTCTCTTGACTGGTCTCAAACTTTTAACCCATCACGTTTAATCGTAAAGTTTGACCATGGTAAGGAAGACTTCGGTAATCAGTGAATATCTTTCATTCATTCTCAGTGTCAATCATATTGCAGGTTTGGCAAAGTGTTTTTTTTTTTTACAGTTTTGAGTGGTTATAAGTACCTACCTACTTCCTGGTGATTATGTGCTTTAGAAGTAGAAGCTTTATATGTCATTCCTATTTATAGGTATCCGTGTCGTAAAATGTTTATTGAATGTGGTGAAATTTGAGCTTATAATTTTGAGAACTGGTTAAATCTTTGTTACGCCAAAATGAAGCTCTTCACCCTTACCGTGGCATTGAGTTATAAATCGTATCAAATTAATCAATGTTGCACACTTTCTCTCTAAAATCTATTTTCATCATGAGATAGTACTATTACTAGTACTTTGAAAAAGTAGTACTCTAGATAGTACTCTGAATCAGTATTCTTTACATAATTACGGAATTAACGCAGACTTCTAGGCAAATAATTTCCAATGCTTTTTTTTTAACACATAAAACATAATCCTCTGTTAAAATGTCCAAAATGTCTGAATAATTTATCTGACTAAGGAATTCATACAAGGTGATCCAAAAGTCCCTTAACACTTATAAAACCCTCAGCCTACAGTTTTTAAACTTCTTTTCGCGGTGGTCTCCTAAAAGCTGTAGGGGCTCCCAAAAAGTGGGTTCGTCTGACCCAGAGGCACTCACAAGATTCCAAGTCTCTTTCTCAGTGTATTCAAAAATTACAAAAATGATGCCTGATGCTGATAGTACGGGGGACTTTCGGATCACCCTGTATATTTTATTTTTATTATTTATTTTTTTCGTCATTTGTAGGTGTTATATACTTAACGTTTTAAAACTCTAAATATGTGTTTTCGACGTGACAACACTTCTTAAAGTCGTTTCTACTGAAGAAAATGTTGAATTAAAGGTACCGCAGATAAAGAATTTAGTAGCATTTTTTTAATTTTTAAAAATGGCTGCCAAAGTTGGAAATTACATGGAAGCTCATGACACGAAACATTATGATCTTAAATACCAAGGCAGTAAAATAAAAACCACAGTCAGAACATTTGACAACACTTACCTCGACTCTAGCTCCACTCGAAAACATTAACATCTTGATTTTTTCAAGACATTCACTTACTGTTAGTTCTTTGATATTCTATACCCTCTGATCCTGCACCGCTGCATTTTGACAGCTGTAAGACACAGATATTTTTGGTTATTTACAAAATATCAACCACGGGAAAAGAGAGCTCAGTCCGCAAGGGCAAAATTATTGAAGCAATTATTTTTGCTGAGATGATTCGAAAAATCAAATTTTGAGATTTTGACGGAAAACTCTCTCTTGTGTCCTAAAAAAGGATTCGCGAGTAATTTAATTCATTTGTGGCCGCAATAGTGAAGGGCATGAAGTTCCATTTAGATTTCTTCATTTGAACCGAGCACATTGGAATTTTGAATAGGTAGCTTTTTCCCAAAACCACTTTTTTTAACTAAAAACTTCAAAAGCCGTTCTCCCGATTTGATTCAATTTGTTTTCGTGTTTATTGTGCCAAAATATTCATAGCACACTCCTTTATGCTTTTGAATCATCAGCTATTCGCTTTTAAAATTGCACGCCTAAAAAGCATGTGAGAATGAAAATAATGAAATAAAGTTACAATACCAGTTTAATAGTGCCGTCTATGCAATTGAATTGTAATATTTTTACATAATTTGATTAATAAATTCCGATTTTCGATGATCAATAAAGTAAAATGCACATGCTCGAAATAAGATAAAGAAAGACAGGAAAAAACGGAGTAAATACCAAACAAAAAGTTAAATTAAAGACACTTAAATTAATCGAAGACGAAAAATCATGGAGAATTTAAGTTTTATGTTGACCAGCTTCTCGAAAGAAAAATACAATTTCTAAGGAAGTCTGCAACGTCGCAAATGGAGAAACGTCGTCTCTCATTTGGCCCAAAAATATGTATGCATAAAATTGAAGGCATTATGACTTTCCTCTCTCAACTTATATTCGTGTGTATCGATAAACAATGGGACGCGTTCGCTACGGCGCCTTGATACAACTATACAACCTCGACGGATGTCCGCATTGCGTTCAAAAAATTGAAGGCGTTTTGACTCCCTGCTCATACTAATTGTAGTTGATTCGATCGACAGACGCGTTGGTCGGCGGTGACGGGAACTTGATGCAACTCTTTAAACTTGATGGATGTCCGTATCGCACCGACTGAAGTGCGAAACCACGTATCTCCATTGCGGTGTTTCAAAATTTCCGTTCTTCTTTCATCTCTCCCATGAGAAGCGATCCGAATTTACGACTTTAAATTTTGAACCAAATCTTCTGCTATGGAAGACGAAAAATCATGGAGAATTTAAGTTTTATGTTGACCAGCTTCTCGAAAGAAAAATACAATTTCTAAGGAAGTTTGCAACGTCGCAAATGGAGAAACGTCGTCTCTCATTTGGCCCAAAAATATGTATGCATAAAATTGAAGGCATTATGACTTTCCTCTCTCAACTTATATTCGTCTGTATCGATAAACAATGGGACGCGTTCGCTACGGCGCCTTGATACAACTATACAACCTCGACGGATGTCCGCATTGCGTTCAAAATATTGAAGGCGTTTTGACTCCCTGCTCATACTAATTGTCGTTGATTCGATCGACAAACGCGTTGGTCGGCGGTGACGGGGACTTGATGCAACTCTTTAAACTTGATGGATGTCCGTATCGCATCGTCTGAAGTACGAAACCACGTATCTATGTATCTATCTAATTATCCATCTACCAATCTATCTATCTATCTATCTATCTATCTATCTATCTATCTATCTATCTATCTATCTATCTATCTTTCTATCCATTTACCTATTTATCTATTCATCTTTCCATCCATCCATCTATCTATCGATCTATCTATCTATCTATCTATCTATCTATCTGCCAATCTATCTATCTATCCATCTATCTATCTATCTATCTATCTATCTATCTATCTATCTATCTATCTATCTATCTATCTATCTATCTATCTATCTATCTATCTATCTATCTATCTATCTGTCAATCTATCTATCTATCCTTCTATCTATCTATCTATCTATCAATCTATCTATCTATCTATCTACCTATCTATCTATCTACCTATCTATTTATCTATCTATCTACCTATCTATCTATTTATCCGTGTATCTATGTATCTATCTGTCTATCTCTCTATCTATCTATCTATCTATCTATCTATCTATCTATCTATCTATCTATCTATCTATCAATCTATCTATGTATCTATCTATCTATCTATCCATCTAGCTATCTATCTATCTTATCTATCTATCTTTCTATATACCTATCTATCCATCCGTCTATCTATCTATCTATCTATCTATCTGTCTATCTATCTATCTATCTACCTGTCTATCTATCTATCTATCTATCTATCTATCTATCTATCCATACATCTATCTATCTATCTCTCTCTCTATCTATTTATCCATCAAAAAATTTTATATCCGTGTTTTACAGTGTTCACATGCGTCACGCCCACTATCACAAGCCTGAGAGACAGCAATCTATCCCGGCAAGCAACTATTTAAACGGACAACACCAACAAATTCAGGATGCTGTCAGCGGTGACCGTAAATCTGATCTACTTCCTCTCAGCCCTGATCGGGTACCTGGTGTACCGCTACAAGAAGCGCTACAATTACTGGCGGGATCTGGGGGTCCCGTACATCGGAGCCTCGGGGGACATCATTTTCGAAACGACGAAGAACAAGGCCCAGGTCCTGCAGGATCGCTACAACGCCTTGTCGCGGCATCCGTACGGCGGGATCTTCCAGGCGAGCAAACCGTACCTCCTGCTCCGGGACCCGGAACTCGTGCGGACGGTGCTCATCAAGGACTTCTCGCACTTCACCGACCGCGGGATGGTCTTCCACGAGGAGCTGGACCCGCTCACGGCGCACATCTTCAACCTCGGCGGCCAGCGCTGGAAAAACATCCGCACCAAGCTCGTGCCCACCTTCAGCTCCGGCAAGCTCAAGGCCATGTTCCCCCTCATGGAGCAGTGCATCCACAATCTCAACGGGTAAGTCAAGGTTTTTTTATTTTTCACAAGAGGGAAATTGCACCGATGGATCAGTTGCGCTGGTCACAAAATCGCGTTTTGGTGCTTCATTCTTGTGGATCAGCTAAAAATAATAAGATCTGTCCAAACATATTATCAGCTTTTTACGTTGAGCATTAACTGGACCGAGTTTAACAGAAAGGAACCAAGCCACATCAGCTATTGCCAAGTTTGACTGGGCGATTAAATTTTTTACGAGAGAACGTTTGTTTGGATTTCTTTGAAAATTTTAAGGAATTTGCTTCCTACAATGGAAAATTTTCACTAAACTTTGCACGAAAATCCGCACAACTGTTTTCATGTAAAAAATTAAATTGCCCAATTAAATTTGGCAATAGCTGATGTGGCTTGGTTCCTTTCTGTTTGACGCAGTCCAACTAAGATATCGAGCTTTGAAAAATTCGGTTCATGACGTCATCCACGGCGGTAGTGACACCCTTGGTTTCTTCGACCTTGCTTTCATCAGTCAGAGAAACGCATATTTGGACTACATTTTGCAATTAGGAACTATAAATTCTAGCCCGGTTTAAAGACGACGTATGTGCCATTAGTTTCCCTATACACATAAGTGTTTATCCAGAAGAGCCAAAATTTATAGTTCCAAATTGCAAAATGCAGGCCATTTGCCCTGGTTTAGTACTCAACTTGTAACTCGAATGAAAACAAGGGGGAAGAAACCAAGGGTGTCACTACCGTCGTGGATGACGTCGGTTGAAGGACATTTCGACAACGATTTTTTGTCCGCACACCTGGTTCTTCTAGTAGTTTATGTCCACGCGTTTTTTCGGCAGGGGAGTTCGTGCCGTAGTACCTTAATTTATTTTTCGAGGAAAGCTTCGTACTCTTAAAGGATGCCTACCATTCTTAAAATGTTGAAGCGCCTTCAATTTCGTTTGATACTGTGCAACACCTCTGTTGTGAAATAGTTGCTTGAGGCGCCGTGGCACGCTGCGGCGCGGCAGGCGGCGAGCCATCTCCCAACGCGCAATGGCGCCTACAAACCTAAGGGGATACTTCAAGCATTGCGCAATGCGTAAAGTATCCCCCTAGGTTTGTAGGCACCATTGCGCGTTTCGCGTCGGTAGCACGCCGCTACGCTCTGTGTTATGGCTAGTGATATTTAAAATCGCATGGTCGGTGTTTTTCAGTTCATGATTTTGAAATTTTTGCACACTCTGCATGGATTTTCCTCATTTTAATTGATGAAAAAAAATGTATTTGAGGATAATATAAAATGTGTTTTGTAAATATTCGAGAAACACGATGGTGCCACTGGTTTTCTCTGAAATCAACTCCCAAGCTCAAAACAAGCTCTCAAGTTGAGACCAAAATGGAGGATATATCCCACGCTATCCTCAGAGTCCACTTCTACATCAAGAAAAACTCTCCATGCAAAGATAGGGAGAAAATACATTGACAGGACTGCCACTCTATTTGGGGACTCCAAAACTGAAAACACGGCAACCCTGCTTATGTATTTGCTCCCTATCTTTGGATGGAGAGTTTGTCTTGATGTAGAAGTGGACTCTCAGGATAGCGTGGGATATCCCCTCCATTTTGGCCTCAACTTGAGAGCTTTTTTTGAGCTTGGGAGTTGATTTTAGAGAAAACCAGTGGCAACATTGTGTTTCTTGCGAACTTTTACATAGGAATCAATTGTTAAATCGCAAATCTCTCACACATGCAACATCTCCATACAGCGGGTTGATTATTGATAAACAGCGATAGACGAAGAAGACGTAGGGAGTATGGAATGATTCATTTGATTGAAATGATTGGCTCCAATAGACTGAGGGAGAAAATGATCGACTAACTATAGGATCTTTCGTGGGTTGTCGTTAGTTAGTCTATTACCTACCTCCTTTGTCCATTGCAACTACCCTTTTCCACCAATAGGATCCCTTCATATCCCTTTTGTCTTTGTCTATAACTTTGTCTCTCACACATGCAACATCTTCATTGTGAATGTATCCCAAGTAGCAGAGGTTGCAACAACTTGCAACAAAATCGTTTGATTCTTGCAACTACGAGTAATAGATTGATGTGCAGATTGCCTACTCTCTCCCCTCTAGGAGGAGGCTTCCCCGAGAAGGAGCTCTAATTGTTGGAACTAATTGCAATTAAGTTGAAACACGTTTCAACTTCAAAGTATTGCCGGTTGCCTATCTTTAGATTTTAAACAACTTTGGTTCATCAATTTTGCAATCTCAGCAGGTTGCAACTTTGTCTTCCGATCAGATCGCCGAAAATCGGCACTTATCGACCAAAAGTTGACAGAAAGTGGCAATTTTGTTGCAACTAATTTCAACATTATTTCAAGTTGTTGCAACTTTTACATTGAAAAATGCTACTTGGGATGTTCTCCACCCATGGCAGATACCTGGACGCAAAGCTGGCCCGCTCCGATGAGTTCGAGGTGCGGGAGCTGATGCTCAAGTTCGCGACGGACGTGATTGGGACGTGCGCGTTCGGGTTCAACTGCAACGCCATCGCTGACGGAGAATCGGAGTTCCGGGCCATCGGCCGGAAGCTGGCGCCCAACTCCCTCAAGTTCCGCTTCCGGCAGGTCCTCCGCTCCATCCACCCCGACATCATCCGGTGGCTCGGCTGGAAGGGCTTCAACAAGGAGGTCGAGGACTTCTTCATGGGTGTCACCCGCGAGACCATCCGCTACCGCGAGCAGAACCAAGACAAGCGCAACGACTTCATGCAGCTCATGATCAATCTCCAGCACGAGGAACGCAACGCCGCGCAAGCCGATAACGACGCTGGTGAGCGAGCCCATTCTGTTACCAAATGGACGTATTTCTGTCAAATGGAACTAAGCGCCATAGGAGGAGGAAGGTAGAGGGGGGCTTGGATTGGCGGCGAAATCGGGCGTCGGGCGTCGGGCTCATTCCGTCCTACAATCGCAATGCTTTTCAATGGCGCTTAGTTCCGTTTGACAGAACGCGCTATCCGGTATTCTAAATTCCTCAAAAGGAACTCAATTTGGCGCTTAGTTCCGTTTGACAGAAATACGTCCAAATGGACTGCGTTAAGCAGGAATAAGGAACCATGCCGCATCAGCTATTGCCAAATTTATCTGGGCAATTTAATTTATCACATGAAAACGGTGAAGCGGATTTGTTTGAAAATGTCAGTAAATTTTCTACATGTTACAAGGCAGATTCCGTAAAATTTTCAAAAAAATTCGCACAAACGTTCTCTTGTAGAAAATTAAATACCTCACTTAAATGTGGCAACAGCCGATGTGGCTTGGTTCCTTTCTGTTAAACGCGGTCCAAATGTTTTCCTATCAGTGCTCTAAAGAGGGTGAAAGTCACATACATTCATACAGTCACACATAGGGCCTTCAGGCTCCCCTACTACGCTGCCGTACTAAGGAAAAACGCCGTATGAACCTTCAGGCGTTGCCAAATTTCCTTCGATAAATAACGAATTTTTTTGAAAAATTAAGAATGTTTTCCTTCCAATTTTTCAGATAATTTAGATCACAATTTTAGCCAAAGATTCTGAAAATTTCGAGGAAAAATATACACAACTTTCCTCAAAAATGAACATTATATCCAAGAAAATTTGGCAACTCTCGAAAGTTCATACGGCGTTCTTCCTCAGCACGGCAGTGCACTGAAAAAAAACACATTGGATCTAGAATCCAGACTCTTAAAAACATCGACAAGAAAAAATGCTCTTAATTCAATCAGATTTAAGTTTAAATCAAGAACCAAGCCTCTTAATTTCAGCGGATTTCCTTTTGATTTAAGCTTAAATCTGATTGAATCAAGAGTCCTTTTTCTTGTCAATTTTTTCAAGAGTCTGGACTCTAGATCCAATGTGTTTTTTTTCCTGTGTACGGGACGGGAGTCGACCGGCTTGTGGACGTAAGCAAAAAGTGCGGTGCTTAACGGCAAGTTTCTCCATGAGCAAAAATTCCTCGCTACTGCGTTACTGTTATAAAAAAGGCATTTTTTAGCTCGTTTCCGGCTTCAACGTTGGGAAATAAAATAAGTATCTCAAATTATGTATAAGCAGTAAAATTACGTAGAAATTTTCTATCAAGCCACCCAGCATTTCAAAAAAATGTCTGTTAGCAACACAAATTTGTGTTAGGGGCCGTACATGAATTACGTCACTCGCTTTTCCCGACTTTTTGACCCCTCACTCCCCCTTCGTCGTCTACGTGTCACTCGTCTCCAAACCCCCTCAAAAATTAAGTCATTTTAAGTGCGGGAAAAGACTCGGAAATAAAGTTGAGCATAAAGGAAAAGTCTAGAGTTCACTCCTTTCCTCGTTATGAATGTTTAAAGCAAAGCTCACTGTTTTCCAAATAAAGTATACGACGGTAGTAAATCAAGTTAACACATACTTATTATGAAGTTGAAGTGGGTTGCATTTGAGGCACTGGATCCAAAAAGGGCACTTCTGTGTAGGGCAAGTGTGTTGCAGTGTTTCAGAGTCTCCTCTAATATTTCATTCATTGTAAGGAAAGTGAATGCATCCATTCTACTAAAAATTTTACTGAACATTCCTTATGATTCTAAAATGTTGTATGGAAAGAATTCTGGAAAAACCACCCATTAAAGTCGTCTCCAAGGGATTAATCAGCAACAGAGATTCTGAAACACCGCAATCGAGAAGTGCCCTTTTCGTATTCAGTGCCTCATTTATATAAAATTATCAGATAATTATATAAAAAAATGTATGAAAAAGGATGTAGAAGTAAATAAGAATTTAATTATTCAGTTAAATAAAAAATAAAGTATGTACGAAGCCTCCATCATTGCTAAATTATCTGAGACAAGTCGTAACGAACTAAAATTACTCCGTTACTACTTTTCTAACCGATCGTTTAAGTCTCTGAAGTAAAGGTTCCCCCACCAATTTAGAGTCAGAACGTTGTGCATAACCACTTGTTCTTTTCTTATAAAATGTATACGCAAAATACCGTTCTACTTTTCTAGCCGATCGTTTAAGTCTCCGAAGTATTGGTTCCTTCTTTCTTCAGATACGCTCAGACATGCTGCGCTTTCGGATTTTCATGTTTACACCATGTCAGGATACGGTGACGTCACTTTTGTTTGACCCCCTCCTCCCTCCTCCCTTTGTCACCTACATGTCACTCATCCCCAAACCCACCCTCCCCCCTGGGTGGGTGACGTAATTGGACGTATTTCTGTCAAACGGAACCAAGCGCTAATTTGAGTTCCTTTTGAGGAATTTAGAATCCTGGATAGCGCGTTCTGTCAAACGGAACTAATTGTAAGCGCCATGGAAAAGTATTGCGAGTATAGGAACGAACGAGCCCGACGCCCGGTTCCGCCGCCAATCCAAGCCCCCCCTCTACCTTCCTACCCCGACGGCGCGGCGCTCAGCTCCGTTTGACAGAAATTCGTCCAATTTATGGACGGTCCCTTATCTCACGAGTTAATGTGCATTTCAAAGACCATAATTTGAAACGATTTCAGAGCTCCTGTTTGCCGATCACATCGTAGCTGCGCACGTTTTTGTTTTTTTCGTGGCGGGCTTCGAGACGACTGCCACTACTCTGGCCAACTGCTTGTACGAACTGGCCCTGAACCCGGAGGTGGCCGAGAAGCTTCAGGCTGAAATTCAGCGAGTCCTCGATTCGCGAGGAGGCAAGCTCGACTATGACGCCCTCAAAGAAATGCGCTACATGGAATGCGCCTTGGAGGGTATGTATCCCAACATGACATGCATCTTGCCCTTCGTCGTATCCAAGGATTAATGCGCCAGAAGCCTTTAGCGAGCTGATTATTGGAATCGACTGACAAAGCAATACGTAAAGAATTTTTACTTTCTCGCTCCCCTAGGGTAGAGAGGAAGTATTGTCATCCTCCAAGAAAAAAAAAAAAAAAAATTTAAGGTCCCAGGAGTCAAAATAACCATACTTGAAAAAATGTGTGTCCGTCCGTCCGGCGTCCCCCAAATCTGTCTACAGCGATATCTCAGAATCTATCTGTTCGATTTCATTCCAAATTCTCACAGAACACCATATTTATGGTCTCCTTATGCACGTCCAACGATTTTGGGGTATGCTAAAATTTGGGGGGGCCAGGGTCAAATTGGGTTAAAGGTCCATTTTCAGCAAAATCACACGGAAAGCTCATTTTGAGGGACCGTAAATTTTGAAAAATGCCTTTAATTCTTTAAAAGTGGGTATCAAGCACATCACCTGGGTCATTAATTTAAGTTCCTAAAAGATCTTTGGACTAAACTCAAAATTCAAGGGATTACGAGGCCCAAAAGTAGGGCACTTTGCTCCGCGACATCACACAAACAACTCATTTTCAAAGACTGTAAATTTGAAAAAAAATGCCTTTCATTTCTTCGAAAGTTGACGTAAGAGCACCACCTGGTTCAATAATGTAAGTTCCTATGAGGTCTTTGGACTAAACTAAAAATTGAAGGGTTACGCGTCATATAGCGAGGAGAGCACTTCGGTCACACGGAGAGCTCATGGACTGTAGATTTTGAAAAAATGCCTTTAATTCTTTGAAAGTTGGCTCAAAAGCACCATCTGAGTCATTAATTTAAGTTCCTAAAGGATTCATGGACTAATCTCATAATTGCAGAGGGGCCGATAGGAAACGCTCAGTTCTCTGATAAATGAGTCGGAACGCTTCTAGATAATAGCAGCAAACGCTTTGAGTCAGGTGAAACCTAGGAATTCAAATGCATTATATAATGCATCATATACTATTTCCAAAATTACTCCGTAGGTAATCACAAAGCAAAATTAGACAACTAATTAGATACATACTCACATTACAAAGGTACTATGAATCATCAAGCTAACGCCAAGAACTGACACTTAGATCTTTATTAAAGACTAATATGTTTGTTGTTAATGAATTTAGAATCCCGGCAGATTCCATCTTTTGCGGTTCCTTTTTACGAGGTACTAAGCACAAATATAATGTAATAATTCGGCACAAATATGACTGATTTAATATTTAATGCTTGTTAATGAAGGAGGTTATAATTGTTATAACGTGACGTTTGTTGACTTGTCTCTGGTTGACGTTTGTCGATGGCGCTCTCTATTGTTTTCGCTTTGAGTTACGGGGATACGCGGTAAGGAGATGGCGCTCCTGGCGGGCGTGTCGTGAACCTTCCAGCAGGTAGATTCGCCCGCCAAATTTAAAATTTGGGAGATGCTAAGCGAAAACCGTTTAGTTTTAAGACTATTTGAACATCGAATAGTCATTCTACCCATTCAAGTAGATATTTGATGGCTTTTGACCGTGCTTAAGGAGAGATTATAATATAAAATCGTATCTGAAGTATGATGTCAATGAATCTAATGGATCCTAATGAATCGTAGAAAAGCTAAGATTTTTACGGATCGCCATCTTTGACAGGAGACTTTGTTAATCAATTACATATTTAATTGAAGATGCCTCATAAAATCAACAAGTCGAGTCCGAATATATGAATTCATCACAAATCGCGAAGACATTTACAATGAAGCTCAGTGGTTTGAATAAAAATTTCATAACTATTATCCTGTGATCAAAATTCCAATCAAACTTTATGATTTTGTAAAATTGGCAGTATTTTTCTAAATATTCCAGTAAAAGTGTCTATGCCGGCGCGAAGCGCCGGCTCGAGCGAGAAAGTCCCGTGCGGTCCCCGCACCAATCCGCTAAGCGGATGGGGGGGCGAAGCCCCCCAAATGCCGGCGCGTAGCGCCGGTACGCGGCGCGAAGCGCCGCGCATAAATTGGCCGGAGGCCAATTTTTTTTTTTGTAAACTTACAATGGAACAAATGGATTGCATTTTGCAAAAAGGAACCACTAGCATTGCAATGTTGCTAAGATTGTGCAACTTCTTTTGTCTTGGAGAAAAACCCCGATTATCCCTTAATAGTTTCTATTTTACTCGCTAAAAACTGTAAATTTAAGACAATAATTACCATCTAAATTTCATAATTTTTCACAATTTCCGCAATTCAATTGCAAAGGATGAAGTTGCACAATCTTAGCATCATTGCAATGCTAGTGGTTCCTTTTTGCAAAATGCAATCAAAATTTACACAGTCATTTACAGACAGCCGTTTCTCTCGATTCCGCGCCGACCCTTTCTCAGAACTCCTTCATTTCGTTGGATATGCAATTTGATCTCCGGAGAGTTAAAATAGTTGCTCGAGGCCCAAGCGAATTTTTTGCAATGGCTAGCGCGGCGCCCATGCTTACTGGGCAGACAACACGACTCGTCTGTAGTTCCTTCATTTCGTCAGATATGCAATTTGATTTCCGGGGAGTTAAAATAGTCGCTCGCTGTCAAAGCGAACCGCGATGCTCAAAACCTTGGTTATATTTAATGTTGGACCATGGTTTACCGAGTGCCACGTCTATAGCGCACCAAGAGGCAATCTAGTGTTTTCAGGCATCTTAATTGCATTTATTTAAGAAAAGTATTATTAATATTAATTCGAAATTTCCGGGGTGGAAACTCCAAGCCCCTTTTCTATTTGTGAGAAGAATTTTTTTCTCATATCCAGCTTCATGGGGACACTAATATTACCCTCCTACTAAATTTCTTGCTAAATACCTCATTCCGTATAGCTCTTCCCGATAATCTTTTTGTTTTTTTCTTCAGAAATGTATTCATACCCTAGTGCAGGATCGCAAGTTTTATGGAAAATAAAATCTTGAGATTTCACGTGAAACATTACATGAAGTATGAGAAAAGTATGAAGAATATTGACAAATATTCTTCGAAATTAAAAAGAAAAGTGACTGGTTTTTGCTTTTTGGTGTTTTCTTTGTGTGTGTTGCATACCCAGCCCCTGAAAATACGTTTCACATTTTTCACAACTTTGCGAAATTTCATGAGATATTTCACGGAAGTTTTCAATGTATCATAATTATTTTTCATCTCACCCGTGCAACCCTGCCCTAGTGCCGTATGATTTGTTGTAATATTTTTTGGTCTACTAATTTCAGAAACTCTGCGGAAATATCCTCCTGTGGGCTTCCTGGACAGAGTATGCACGAAGGCTTACGAATTGCCAAATTCCTCACTGTTGATAAAAGAAAACTTGAACGTAGTGATCCCCGTCTACAGTTTGCACTATGATCCGCAGTATTACCCGGAGCCTCAGAGGTTTGATCCCGACCGGTTCAATGAAGAAAACAGATCCAAGATCGTCCCTGGGACTTACCTACCCTTCGGTGATGGTCCAAGAATCTGTATTGGTAAGCGGGTGGATTACTTTGTTTGTTCGCCCCCTCCCCCAGATTTGTCGCTCTGATTATATATCTGGTCGTTATTTCTTTATTGCACCTTTTCCTCGATATTGTAATTGTAATTGTTATGAACCTCTCGGCACAGAAATTACAAACCAAGAAAATTTTTATTTCAAGTATACTAGATGACCCTCAAAGTTGGGGATAAGCGGGAGTCTGTTCAGTATTATTCCAAGGAAGAACTTTAGGTATGGACATTCAATTCCGGTTAAATATTTTATTCCTGAAGTTGCGGATAATTTTCTTTGAAATTTTGAGGTATACCAAACTGAAAAATTAAAAGGGTATATTCATAAACAAGAGGTATGTGGCCGCTACGCGGCCGCACCAACCGCTGAGCAAAACTGCACGTAAAAAATAGTAGAACAACAAGTTATTTAGGTATGAGAGATGCATGGATTCAAAAGCCGACGGGTGCACGCAAAATGAAGCATATTATTTATCTCTTGTTGCAACGTCATGTACCTGCCAATTTTTATATTTTATTTTTGAACACCGTTTTTTTTTTAAAAAGCTACACACAGTTTTGACCAAAAATTTTCCTGAATTTCGACGCGATATCGTCGTTCATTCTATTTTCTTTTCATGTAACAAAAAAAATAAATAAATAAATAAAAATTAAATATCATCCGAGTTTTTGAATCATTACAATGAGGAAACACATTTCCCCTTTACTTATGGTAAGAATCGGAGCAGAAAGTCAATAATGATGACGCGTAAGTAATCCTAATTTAACGGTGGCTTTAGCGTCGCGCGATTCAGGGAAGGGAACGCGGTGGAGTCGTCTTTGCAGTATGAAGCGCCTTCCACCCGGCTAGCGGCAATTTTCCTACACCCATGGTTGAATAGTTATCTCGTTTCGCCTGCCGTGTATGAAATCAAATATCGACGATTGCACGCGGAAAAAGAAGTGTTCTTATATCTCCTGTTGCAACGTTAAAAATCTCTCCTCATGTCTTACTTTAAATATTTTGTTTAAAAAAAAAGCTACACACAATTTTTATTTAGAAATTTCCGAGAGGTTTCCGGAATGATTTGAGATAAAATCACAAAAAATTTGGACGTGATATTTTCATTTGTTCCGTTTTCTTTTCATTAAACCAAAATTAATTTCACGCGAATCAAGTTTCAGAACTGCTGTATCGTTTAAACATCGTCTGAGTTGTTGAATCGTTGCAATAAAGATACTTATTTACCCTTTAATTGTGGTAAAAACCGGGCAGGGACCGTCAAAAGAAATGACGTGTGGTCCTAGTTGCGTGGCGATTTTAGCGTCACGCAAGCCAAGGAACGGAGCGCGGTCGAGTGTCGAGTCATCTTCACAGAGTGATGCACCTTCAATCCGGTTGGCGGTAATGTGCCTATACCCGTAGTCGAATAGTTATCGCAAATAACTCTCGCATGGCGTTTGGTGCAATGCGAGAAGTATTCATGCAGTCTTGTAGGCGCTAAAATGCCTTCGGCGCCGACCTCACTGTTTGGCGCAATGCATGAAGTATTCCTGCGGTCTTGCAGGCGCTGAAATGAGTTTGACACCGACTGCAACATGTTTGGCGCAATTATTCGAACTCGCGTTAGGATAATCAAGGCATCGAACAATGAGCCTCAAAAGGCCCATGTTGTATTTCGACGCTGTATGAGCAGCCCAACGTTGCCTCGTTTCTCCTGATAAAATATTTTTTCCGAGAGAAGTTAGGGAAGTTCTTTAAGTTCGCTTTTTAGATTAAATGGACATGAACAAATTACGAATTTAAGCACTCTGATACATTTTCTTCAATAGTTTCACGCAGAACACGATTTGCGCGACGAGAACTATTGAAATCAACTTCTAGCTAAGATATGAACGTTTTTATTGTCCATTGGTTACGGGTACTGAATTGCCCGGTCACAAGAAAATCAAAACCCTTCGCGAGTAGGGGTAAGATTTCGATCCCTCGTGCTCGACCGATATTCCCATTTGCCTATTCTGCCGTGCTAAGGAAAAACGCCGTATGAACATTCGAGAGTTGCCAAATTTCCCTTGATAAAACATGTATTTAAGACGACATACCTACTTGTATATTTTCCCTTGAAACTTTCAAATATTTTATATTAAATTGTCTGAAATTCTTGGAAAATAATATTCATAATTTTCCCAGGAAATTCGGTTTTGATTGAAACAAACTTGGCAACGTTTGGAGGCTCATACGGCGTTCTTCCTTAGCACGGCAGTGTTCCTGTGGTATTTGACGTCTATTTTTGAGGGGACTCTAAGACGATACCTTCATAAACCCACTGACGTACTTATCTGAGGACACACGGAACCCTCCCGAGGTTGTCATTAACACAGGGAGAAAAGAAAGAGTAAAGAGCGGGAAAAAGTTTGAAAGACATAATTTTTTGGGCTGATAATACCTGTATCCTCCCCCTCTTAACAGTTTGCATAATCTCTCTCAATAATTATTCCGTTTCATATTACAGGGATGAGGTTCGCAATAATGGAAGCAAAGGCTGCACTGACTGTGATATTGAAAAACTATACCGTACACCCGACTTCAAAAACGCAGATACCTTTGGTACTTGAAAAGAATGCATTCATCCTTCGACCTGAGAAGGGCATTCATCTGAAATTCCAAAAACGCGCAAAGTGATCATGACACTTCAACAATTTAATTTACAACCTCTGGAATGTATCCATGGTATCCTGTTCCATGGTGGGCTATTTTGCCCTCCTTTACCGTCTCCAAAAGGACTCGATGAATTCTGCCAACTTAATCGTATAGCAAGGTATACTAGGAGCACCAAGTCTTTATTCAATTGATTGCGACGTTTCCTTTTTGTTAGATTCTACTTTAGATTTCATGCTCAACTCAAAGCTGCAAGTTCAAGAGGCATAATTTCTTGTTTCAAAATTTTATCTCTCCTTTAATTTTTAAAAAGTTGAAATGAAAGAATATGATCTACCAGAAAACATTCGCTCATTCTGCATTCTGCAATTAATGATAATAGAACTTTTATGTTTTGTAATAATTGTCATGAGGCTCTGTCGATAACTGGTTATCTAGGGCAGATTTCTCCTAATGTTTTCGTCACTTCAATAAATGAGTGAATAAATACTGCGTCTGCTCTGTTTCATTTCCCACTCTATCTTAAGCTGTGCTTCTGCTCGTTTTCAACAGGTAAGTTAATTCAGTCTCAGGGGAGGAACAGAATATGAATATACCTGGTTAACACAGTGACTATACCTATGTCAGTAATGATCAAGCAAGCAGATATTAATATAGAGAAGATGGTTTTGAACTACACAAAGAACTTGGGGGGAGGGGGGGGGGGCTAAAGCTGTAGTGACTAAAAATTCAGCAAAAATGATTTTTTTTCTTTCACCTCACTATTCTGTACTACTTTGAGGTAGGACATGATAAAATTACACAAATTTACAAAAATCAAAATTTTTATTTAAATAAAATTTTATGATCAGCTCCAGGAGCTGATACATGTTTTTTTTTAAATCGACATCTGGTCAGACATAGAAATAACATTCCATCATACCCAGCTGGAGGTCAATGCCGATGTGGCTGAAAATAACTGGCTAAATTCGGTAATATATAGTAATAACCGGGAGGAAACCGAAGCAAATAGGCGGACATGATCCAGAAAATAGAAATAAATAGAAACAGGATAATCTGGCACAGGTTACACCATCACACTTCTTTTCATACATGGACTATATCGATTCTTCGTATTTTTGCATCTGCATTGAATCATTTGCAATTAAAAAAAGCACAGCAGCCGATACAGCATAAATTGATCATTCCATTGTGATGTTTGGGTTAAGCTGAATTGAAAGTCAAATACAATTTTCTCAGGAGAAAAGAGAGCTTATGATAGCGTTTCTATATGAGTTTATGGTCCTGAGTGCATCATTCGTGCTACTTCAAAAAAAAAGCACACATCAATTTCGATAACAAGCAGATAGCAGCTTCATCACTTTTATAATAGCGCAAAATGTGTATAAATATATTTGAAGTTTTCTTTGGTGAAAAATTCTCTTTTTGCTTGCATCAGCCTTGCATCTTGTGTTTAGTTACCACTATTTACCTTGCATCCATTTTGAAAAAACTGACTTAGAGATATTGACCCCAGGGGCTTCCTGTGGTCTTGACATAAAATACATGTTGTCACAAGTTGAAACTTCTGGGGAGAACCCTGAAATTTAAGTAAGAAAAAAGCTAAGTCCCTGCACTTGAATTTTTATGATGTTCACTGGCAAAGAAAACGTAAAACAATTAACAGAATAAAAACAGGATTTGACCAAAAAATGTATTGAATTCAATGTGCTGCTTTTTTGTCAGCAAACCTGTTTCGATTTCTTTGAATTTAATTACTGTTTTTGTAAAAATAATTCTACAGACCCCTGCACAGGACTGTTACCTTTTTCGGCATAAAAATCACAATTCGCCCAAACTTTTCACTTCATCACTGCAAAATATTGAATACCAGTTGAACCACAATTGTGCCCTGGAGCGTATCATTTCAAGGAGACTATGAATTTTTTACATTTTATCACAGAGGGCCTGGGGTCTCACAGAGTTCAGATTTAAAGTCAAATTCACTGAAATCTTCAGACCAACAAAAAAATGTTGAGCTAAGCTGAGATAAGATGCATATCCCAAAAAAGACATAATGCTTGCACAAGACATTGAATGATCATACTAAAACAGCTACTACTAGTTCCCTAAACATAAAGATAACAACAAAAGATTTACACCTCCCATAGAGGGAAAATTAATGTTACTAGTTTTAAATAAAACATCCGTTACAACTCCTTCTAGCAAACACAGCTTCACTGATGATTCGAGCAGAAATCAATACGAAAACAGATCAACAATCACAGTTATTTGGCCTTACTTTAACTGTAATATTACAATAGAACTGAGATACTAATAAGCATGTACACAGAGAAAAAAGAGAAAATAATTGAAGTGTATGTGGTTTTGACACCGGAAGTGCCTAATCCGGAACTCAAAAGAAAATTTCATTGGGCATCTCCTGTTATCACCTCTGACTGATTAGGTTGATAAAAATAATTTTCAGAAGTCTATTGGATAAGATTTCAACCTCAGAAGGAACCACGATAAATGCAGTGGTTCACCTTACGTTCAATTGTCTGAACCATAAGCGCCACCAACAGGTCATTATGCGCCAAACTGGTTTTATCTAAAAAAAAAATAGTATATGTAAAGAGGACGAGGGCATCAGAAACTTTGACAAATAAATCAGATTGAAATTGATTAAATGATTCGGTTTTGAGAACTGGGATTTATCCTAGAAATATTACACAATAGCTATAAACAGGACTACTAATCATCTGGTTGATGGATTAGCTAAGATATCGAGTTCATTACAGGTGACCCACTTTGATTGTGTACTCTTTTTCACCGAGTTGAAAACACCTCACTGCTTATTAACTTATGTACAAACATATACAAGACATCGTACACTGCAAATCGAGGCAATAAAACTAGAATTTCGAAAGAATGAAATTTGAAGTTACGCCAGGGTAGGAAATCAGTTGCTCTGTAGTAAATTATGGAGCGTTAGTTGGTGCTCTTGGGAGAGCTGACTGATGCACATCTGTGCAATTTCTGTTTGGCCTTGCAAGCACTGCTTCACAATCTCAATCATTCGTTTGGCTACTTCTGTGTCTGTTTCTATGGCTTCCTTCATGAATGTTTCTGCAAATATACTTAGAATTCTGGGTAGGTTTGCATGGTTTGCGCCTAAGATGGTAGGATGGTTTGCTGCAATTAGATCACACAAATAACCCATGACGTGGGGGACCTCTGCTGTGTCTTCCCAAATCGGGAGCCATGTGAACCAGATTGGGAGGATTTCATCTACATTAACATTTGCGCTGTTGTATTTGAGGATTTTTGTGATAGCCGAGACAGCATTCTCAGTAACAGCTAAGTTTTCTTCAGTTTTTGCACTTGGATCATTGATAATGGATATTAAGACCGGAAGGACCTCTGCACAAGTACCTGTGATAAAAAGAAAAAAGGGAAAATAATTAGAATTTTAAGACAGTGATTACTTAATATACTACAGTTAACGTAAGTTTACTTGTAGAAGCCTTCATTAATCCCTCAAACTCTTTACTCAATATTGAACTCGCATAACCACAAGTCATTTCGTTCAGAAAATACATACTTGCATACCGCATTCAGCACTACAACCGCAGAAGCCATGACTAGAAATAATGATGCACCATCTTTGTTTGGGTTTCATACATCTTTAACCACTGATTTTTCATCCACTCTAGTGGCACACAAATGCCGGCACAAGTTATTTCTCTTGCAAAATAGCACTGAAGTATAAGAACATGGAACTATGTTTTGGGCTTAACTTCCCCATTTTTCAAGTAAAATATTTTTATAGCAAATATTGAAGATAGGTTTCTCCTACAACTTCCAGCACCACACATATAAATCAAGATAGGTGATTTGATAGTTTCATGATTGACATAATGCCATCCTTGAAGCAAATATCCATTCAACTAAAACTGTTCCCATTATCTATGCTTGTATGACTATCAAAGTAAAAGAGGATATTCGAAACATCTTGAGCACCATCAGGTTTTGAGACCTCCATTAGTCCAAGAGCGGGGTCTGATTGCCTTGAGATTACGATTCTCGACTATATAGAGAGTCCGAAATTAAGTGCATATTTCCCGACAAAGAGTTTGCAAAGCAAAGGCATTCAGATTCTCACATAGGCAGAAACACTAGAAATGATTTTTGCTAAACCTAATGGCACTTAAGATGCTTGGAATTTTCCCTCTTAATTTACTGATAACTTTGAGGTATCTCAAATCATCAATTTTTCATTTGATGAAAATTAAATTATGACAGTCCTTACTGGCAAAAGTAGGTCCTCCAAACATGGCTAAAACTCCACACCCATAGATTGCAGTCTGTCGCACTTGCGGAACTTTGTCTCTGATATAGGTCGTCATGGGTCCGAGGAAGTACTGTTGGTACTTGATGCATGCTGGTCCGCCTGACTCGATTACATCATCGAAGATACACATAGCCCACTGGTGATCGGCCCATGAGTGGTTGGGCTCCAACATTTTGATGAAGTGATGGATAATCTGGTCGAAGTAGGGGAAAAAGTCAGTCTTGTACGACACGAAGAGAGCATGGATTATGTCTGCCACTTTGGCTAATTTGAAACTGTCTTCACTATTTTCGTCTTCTAATTCTTCTTCTACAACCTGGAATCCAAAATAAAACATGAGCTTGGTGTCACAAAAGCAATAAATTTATTGATTCATAAAAAATTCTTATACTTTAGGAGCTCTACTGTTAGCATCTTTGAGTGGAGTTAGAGGTGCTTGATGCAAATAATTCATTTTCAAATCTCTAAAAATTGAGCAAAAAAACGAATATATGGTACATGATCATGCCTTCAAGTATTTTGGCCGTCTGGACAAGAATAGGAATTTTTCCTGGGAAAGTTTTTTTCGGGAATTAATAAAATTCGTATCCCTCTCCTCCTCATGAGAAATTTACAATCATACACCACCCCTCACTCTCCAAACAATTTATTTACTGCATCATTTGATTCATATTTACAGCAGGAAAAATCAGATGAAAAAATAATAACATCAAAATCAATAATGTTCATTTCTCCGTTTGTTAAGCGCAAATGGCTCATAAGATAGAAAACAATATCTGAACAGTTATATGCGACAACTTATAATATGTTATTCTGTGGATGTTGAGTTCTAATATACGAGGGGCGTTCAATAAGTAAGTATCCCCCCCTCCTCAAATCTATAAAAATGAACCAATTTTGAAAAAACTTGGGTTTAAATCTTTCTTGGGATATACTGAGTTCAACAAAAGAAACCACAACAAAATCTGAACATATGCGGCTGAACGCGAGCCGTATGAACGCTCCGCAGTGCACGCTGTTCCTGCCGGATCGGCAATCCATTGCAGCTTGGTGTTCTGTTATTACCTTTCTAAGGTAATAATTTGGATTTTCCCTGCGAGTGGGCAAAACAATCTACATTGATCATAAAATCACGGTGAACACATATAATGTGGTAGTCTATTTCACATGTTTATCATGGAGTTATATTATCATCCAATCGTTCAAGATCGTCTGGCATCTTTCGAATGGGAAGTATTCCCACACCTTCCCTCCTCTCCTGATTTGGCATCATTTGACTATCATTCATTCCCGTATCTGAAAGCTAAAATCGGGGGAGTTCATTTGTAAAACGTCAAACTATCTGTCCACATTTTCTTCAATAGTCACCCCATAGCATCCATAAGCTTTCCTCACAGTACCAGACCTGCTTGGATCAAGCTAGTGACTACGTGGAGAAATGAGGAAAGCTCCTTATTCTACACCTAACTTCTTGGATTTTTTGTTAGTTAAAAGTGACTGCAGCTTTGGCAAAGAAGCTCCTCTTTTACCGCATACTTAAAATCCCTGTGGATCCAGCGGGTGTGGTGCGCACCTCAGCGCATTCAAACAGCGGGTTTGGCCGCACATAGTTTGATTTTGTTGGGGTTTCATTCGTTGAACTCAGTATATCCTAAGAAAGATTTTAAGCTCATGTTTTTTTTTAAAAATTGGTCCATTTTTATTAATTTTAGAAGAGGGGGATACTTACTTATTGAACGCCCCTTGTAACTGACAGACTTAAAATTTTGATAAATTCTTATTTATCACATTAACTAAGAAGTGATGCATAAACTCTGTAAGTTGGAAACATTTTTCAAAACTAAAGTGATACCTCAATTATCTGATGAATTATGATGGTACCCCAAGCCGGAAATAAAAAACGCTGGATAATTGAAATTTCATAAAAGCACATGAATCAAATGAAAATGTGTGGGAAAACAAAGAACACTTCGAAAAACATACAAAAATGTTTCGCCGGATATGCGATGAGCGGATAAGCGAGGTATCACTGTACATCCAGCTATTGGCTTCTGAACATATCACTAATCTTTTCTTAGAACTTGATGTTTTAAAACAGCAAACCATTTAAACATGAGTTACATTCAAATTAATCTTGTAAGTATCGAGGCATCCTCAAACTTGAAACTCCTCAAGTTAAGGAGGAAAAATTTGTTTTATGGAGGCAAACGTTCATGAAATAAGATAAATATGGTAAACTATGACTGAGAACGCATACCTCATCATAATCTTCATCCTTCCTTTTCTCCAATCGGTCAACTTCGTTCTGGAAATGTTCAGACATGGTCCTGTTGATAAAACTAAGAAGACTTGTCATCCATTCTTCCGTCAAACAACCGGATCCTAGGAATTCTACACACTTAGCCATTGAATCCATCAACTCAAGTAGGACATCTGGCTCTGATTCAGTTTCGATGGCTCGCAAAAGTTCTGGACAGATGAAGTTCCACATACCTTTCAAATATTCTGCGCCTGAAAACAGTCATATATTAAATTATTTTAATTCAAAATGTCGCATGCAAACGGACAGGGTTCATGGCATTTTCCCAAAAGCAAGATCAATTATTTCCTCAGATTTTACAGAGAGTTCCAATTAATCAAGTCATGAACCTAAGAGAACTTTCTAAAAACCACTGATTGATATTGGGATCTTATAAAAGAGTTGCAAAAGCTCTATCGTTACCAGGCTAGGTTCTACATGCGCGCTTCACCGGAGAAATTGCAAAAAAAACGCAGCACACTATCGAAAAAGGCTAAAGTTAATTCAGATCTTCTTCGATGAAAAGAGTTACAAATGTGAATACTCCTGAGAAGAGGTTGCTGAGTAATGCGGCATTCACGGTAATGAAAGGGTTATGAGGGCTGACAGAGTGCCTTGTCAAAGGGCAATTAATATTCTGATGCTTTCAATCTCTACTGCTATGAAAAGAGGCAATAATAACACGGACAAGAAGAGGATACAAAAGAAGGAAAAGTCACAGATTGATATTTTAAATGTCTACATAACATGACAAAAAAACTTGTTTCAGGGGAACATTAAAAAAATTACATATTTGGCGAATGCCCGGTAAAGTTGAATGGTAATTGTTTTCTTTGCTTGCTTACCATTCAGTTGAGCGCATTCTAAGAGATAGGGTAAACTAATGGCTGCTGCTGTTCGCACACCATCATGGAAACAGAACTTGAGAAGAGGAACAAGCAATTTGACAACTTCCTCAGTATATGGTGCAAAACCTTCTTTCAATTCACGAGCGTAACAAACCAGCATTTCACAGGCGGCAGCTTTGTCCTCCAAACCTACGATAAAAACAATTATATAAAAATAAAATTGAGGCAAAAGACACTAAGACTTGATTTAATAGAATGGAGTTACAAAGTTTGTCTGGAAGTATTCGACAGATTTCTTTTTCTGGTGAACTAGCCACTCAATCTGCTTAAAAGATTTGAGGGAAGAGCTTAATGCAAAAATGGCTCCCCCCCCCCCCCCCCCCCCCCCC